GTCGCGTTAGCAGGAGGAGACCCTCCAGCCACAGGCTGGGTGGGGGTCCGGAGGCTGGCAGGGGTTTGGAGGCTGTCTGCGGTCACGTTTTCTGATGGAGCTGAGGTGTGCTGTCCTGCTCTGATCAGCACAGGACCTACAGGCAGGTCAGGGTGGGCCAGGCTTGTTGCATCCACTGTGAGGGACCCCTTGTGCAAAACACACATGCAGCAGGCCAGGTGTACGCCGGGTGTGATGCACACTGTGAGCGTAGTACAGGGAACTGTCTTCTGCCCGGATTGTGCCCAAACCGTTCAGAAAGGATTTCTGCCTGGAGAAGGCACTCCGTCCAGTGAAATGCAAGTCCATGGTAAGGAAGATGTAAAGTTGCTTTATTGTCTGTGTTCTTATTCATGAATGAATGATACTGCAGTTACAGCCGATGTTCAGTTAGAAGGATGTTTTTTCCTCAGCTTTCAAGCATAATTTGACAATACTGTCTGTGTTGCTCTGAAGTAACTAGCCTTTCAATCCTCTGTTGAAAACCTGGTGAGTGAGGTTGGGTTTGTTGAAGCCAAAGGAGGACCATTCACGATGAAGCGCAGTGCCAGAGGACTGCTCATGTGCCATGGTCTTTGCTGTAGGACTCTGGGATCCCGTGTGGGACAGGTCCCAGGGCCTCACTACTCCCAGAAGCATTGGCAATGGTGGACAAGCCCGTGGTGAAACCTCTTTCCGTAGCCCCAGCCTCTGATATAGCACCATAAAGTTTAAGGGTATTTTTATTGCACTGAGAACAGGAAACTTGGGGATTTTTGTCTTGATGCTCTCACCTGATAATTTAACTCAGCATTTCTGATGTATCCTTGTGCTGGGAAAAAGCCCATTTCATGAAGCTGTTCATTTTCTCAGGGCTACTTCTGATTTTTAAAACCCCCTCTGTGTATTTCCTCCCTCCTCCTTCCCCCAGGCTGAAGTACTGTTTCCCATTGTCCTTTTCAAAGTAATTACCCTACAGGCTGCAGTATCCTCTTCAGCTGTCCTTGGAGCTTGTCCTCCCTTCCTTTCCTCACTCCGCTTTCAAAAAGAATGCAGCAAAATGTACACAGTATTCAACACCTTTCTATACTTTGAATTATAATTTGCATTGTGATACAATATTTTTTGGCTTTTTGTTTTCCAGTTCTTTCCTAATGGTTACTAACGCTTAATTCAGTGTTTTGGGTTTTTAACTTGGTGACTTACTTGCATAAAATTGCAGAGCCTGCTGAGAGAGCTCAGCTCTGAGTGGGGACAGCAGGTCAAAGCCTGGCTTTGTGTATGTGAAA